AGATTTGATCGAGATATAAGGATTTTAATTTTTGCTAGTAACAGGCGAAAAACCGATTTTTCACAACAATGCCTCTGGCGAAGTTATATTCATTTCTACACAAAAACAAATGTTGCCACTATGCTCAGCGTAGTCGATTACCTATATTCCATGGCATTTTAAGATCCCCAGAGACGTCTGCGCGGAGATAGACACGTGCTCGAGGAAAGCGAGCCCTGCCCGAACGACGCTAGCTAGAGAGCCGGGACTTGCATAATTTTGTAGAATAACGTCCAAACTATCTACGCGTGCAAAAAAATTACTAACATTGTGTATTAGTTTTCTAAGAACGGAGCTGGTTTTCCAAAGATCCTCTGAAAACCCGATCTCTGGAATTTTTTCAACAGTTGCTTCCGCTTGTGAAAAGTTCTGCTCATTCAGGCTATTGAACAGCGAAAATCGCAGGTCTCTATCTCATTCCTATCAAAAGTCATTCAAAAAATGCCCACGGGTCTTGTATTTTGGGATGGATAGTAGTTAATGTTCAAGCTACTGCACCACAACAAATAGCTACGACACCAACCTTTAAAAAAATAAAAACGTCACTTTATACTGCACGTAACAAAAGTTATCGTCCAAGACCGAAGTCATTAAATGATGTAAACACTGAAGGTTAAAAAGAATTCATTTTTATTTTAGAGCACTTTCTTATCTATAGTTCTGTCTTAAATTAGGTATATGGCGACAAACGTTAAATGGTGATTCTTTTCTACTTATTGATCAGAAACAACAACCAGTATTTGGTACATTATCATCTCTTCAACAATTATGTAGTAGTGATCATTTATTTATGGATGGTACATTTTCATCATGTCCATTTCCATTCTATCAATTAAATACCATCCATTGTTATAATAATCAAATATCTACACCAAAAAACTTTATTCATTATTAGCGGATAAAAGTCAAGGTACATATACAAACTTATTAGCTGCAATTCAACGAATTTGTTATGAAAATCACTTAATTATTAATCCAAAATATATAACCATAGATTTTGAAACTGCCATAATAAATTCTCTAAGTAGAATATTTCCAAATGCAGCAATAAAAGGCTGCAACTTTCACTTTAATAAATATTTATATAAACGTTTACAAGCATTAGGATTCCAGTCTGCTTTTATTAATGCTGAATCTACAGATATTAATGATATAAATGTTCGAAATTTATATAAGAAAACAGCTGCACTTGCTTCTACGCCACCAAATCAGATTCCAAATTTATGGGTGCAAATTATGGATGATTTTCAATATATTCAAAATATTGAACCATTTTTTGATTATTTTACAACAACATGCGTAGATGGTAATGCAATGTTTGATTATTCATTGTGGAATTATTTTGATTTCTTAAGTCATCGTACTAACAATAACGTCGAGGGATGGCATTGTAGACTAAATTCTTTGCTTTATCATGTCCATCATCCAAATATTTACGTATTTGTTAATAGTTTAAAAGAAGATTTTGCGTTCAATACGGCTATTATAACACAAACTTCTGCCACTGGTGCAACACCATCACGTAAAAAATTGTATGTTCAACGAAATACACGCATTCTGGATTTGGAAAAAAGATTTTAAGAACACAAATAACATTAAATGAATTTCACGAACGAAGTATGAAACTGATTGGTATTAAAAAATTCTAAGTTTTCTTTTCTTTTTCCGTAGTACAAAATATAAATTTTTCATACATATCACTTAATTAGTATATATATCAATTAAGAAAATAGTCGGCAAAACGAGAACCACAGATTTCTATATTTTAGAAAAGTCGGCAAAACGAGAATATTTTTAATGAGTCGGCGAAACGAGAATACACCGGCACATTGACTAGAGATTTTAATTGAATATAACTGCTGTATTTTTGTTAATACATTCGTACAATAATATTCAAATTTCTGTTTTGAGAGAAAATTTAAGTCAATAGAGATTAAGCAATTTTCAATGATTAAATTTATTCGTTGATTAATACCATAGAATGAATTGATAATATCAAACGTATCGAGATATTTAAATATTTCAATATATAACTCAACGGGTAAGTAATCCATGATGGAAGATGTGGATCAAATTTTTTTAATCTAAAACAGCCGAAGAGTATGCATGAGCTGAACATGTAGTATAAGAGATGTGTTTCTCTTTAACTTTTCCATTTCCGTGAAACAATATATACATAAAAACTAGACTACAGGGTACCACATAACCTTTGCCCCCCCCTCTCTCTATAACCTAAAGAACGCATAACATCAGAAAGTTTTTATACCAGATTAAAGCGCATCAAAAGCTGCATCTACCAGTGCGATTGGAGTAAATGTTGCCTAAGGGACTGATAAAACATCTTGCACAACATATTAAAAATATCATGGATTACACAACACTAAGTCTATCAAAGTGTCATCATACCATTCATTGATTTAAATTATGGATACTAGAGGTTTCAGTTTATTAGAAACATAAACCTTTCATGAGTACATGATTCTGAGAAAGTTTCAGAACTTTGTATGACCTCCTCTACCAGTTTTGAGAGCATCAAATCGAGCGCAGCAAGTCAGTAAAAAGATCTGTGTCATCTTCAACATTCCTAAGTGCATTCTCAATGTTAGTTTTGAGAATATCGTAATTGTATCTGTTTTGACGATCTTCACTTGCCATCAGTTCTTCAACTTTGTCTTTGATAATGGCACCAATGTTCTCTGCAGGGTTCTTGTCGGGACTGTTACCTGGCCATATCGAATTACCCCAGAACTTGATACCCTTATCCTTCAAAAGATGTTGCGTTGCATTGGCTTTCATACAGGGTGCCTTCTCGTGAAGGAATATGACTTCATTTGTATCGAGCACATTGTTTGGATCTCGAAGAAAGGGAATTACACGTTCTTGAAGAAAAATTTCACGAAAATAGACTCCATCCCAAGACTGCCCTTGCTCCTTCAATACCCACATGAGTTTCTTTGCAGTGAACAGTACGAAGATTCCGACACATGCCGCGCGTTCTGAACCATTTCACGATATCATTCCTCGTTGCTAATGTCTTCGATATTTTTTGCCCAAACTCTATCATTTTGGTGATTCGGTTTTCTGATCACATGAAACTCATCCGACGGTGCCATATGAAGAAAATCTTCTTCAGTCCAATTGGCAACAAAATGTGCAAGCCATTTCCGATCTTCAATCTAGGTATTTGTCTTCAATGGTTTTGCAATCACATGGAAAGGCTTTAATTCCTGCCGATGACGTTCACGACGAACAGTTTCACCACTCACGCGCTGTCCTGTTTTCTCTAAAATCTCTCTTGCAACGTTTTGAGAGCTACTGCCCGTAATACCACTTGCAGAAGCGATAATATCTTTGCTCTCCTATGAGAGTATCTTCGGTCGACCACTTCCAAATTGTGTGTAACATTCTTCAGTAGTTTTATTCCAATTTCGTCGTACCCAACTTTCGTCCCGATGCAGTTTTTCCGCAATCCATTGGCGAGTGATAAATGAGTCTCCTGTTCTTGCAATCATTTCATCCCGTATGTCACGATATGTGATACAACGAATTCTGTCCAAAAATCGTTGCTCCTCGAAGTCGTTGAAAATATCGGCCATTTTTATTCACAGAATTGATGTGTTACAGGCTTGCCTTAGTTTAATGAATATTCGATTCAACTTCGGATGTGACCAAAAGAGTTGATTCCACGAGCAACAGACACAGCAAAGAGATAACGAAGTTTGAAATAGTGCCGATATTTATTCATTGTCCTCTTATCTCCTCGTGCACATACCGCATAATTTTCTTCTCTCTGTTTCTTCTCTCAATTGTTACTCATGAGCAGTGAATGTTTGCTGCTTTGGAAGAAACACGTTATCCAGCTCCCGCACGTACTTCGTTACAGTCGAGTATGATAAAACCAGAGAGAACCACGTCAAGTAGGTAGCCCCCAGATCTAACAGAATACACGGATAATATCACTTCCAGCTAAAGAAAACGCAATCTATCAACAAGTGATTTATTCGCCGAAAACGAGATTAAATAACTTTTTGGTAGACTCGGTATTATGGAATCCATGACATTTTTAATATGTTGTCCAAGATGTTTTATCAATCGCTTAGGCAACATTTACTCCAATTGCACTGGTAGATGCAGCTTTTGATGCGCTTTAATCTGGTATAAAAACCTTCTGATGTTATGCGTTCTTTAGGTTATGGAGAGGGGGAGGCAAAGGATATGTGGTACCCTGTAAACAGTAACCGTCTAAAATGAAAAAAAAGAAGAACGTTCAATCGATCGTTCAGATACCTGATGTGACTAAAATTTAGACTGAAATGTACCTCTTCTCATTTTTCGAAGAGATATAAAGAAAAAAAAATGGGAAGTTATAAAACGTTTATCATTTTCACTCATTCTGTGAAGTAATGCTCTTAACTTTGTTAAATACAGTCTCTAATAATCTAGTATAATAAAATATATAGATTTTTTCCTCCTTGTAGAATACTATTTTGTTGGAGAAGGAATAGAATAGCTTTATTAGAATTAAAAGGCAAGATAACAAATAAAACCTTAAGATGTATACTCCCACTTAAAAATTGTGCATCTAGTTGTAAATGTACAATGTTTTTGCATATTTAAACCTCTTCATAATCACAATCGATTGAGGAAGAATGTCTTTTTAATCGATTTTACAGAAAATCATCATTTTCAAAATGCAATTTTGTTGCACTGAAATTTTTTAATAAATCTGTCAACATCCAGCATTTTGAGGTTGCATTTGTTTATCTTAAAACAAATAATTCTTCGTCTTCTTTTTTGCTCCGTTGGAAAAAAGACTCCAGTGAGAAACATAAAATTTAGGCAAAAACCACGTAGATTATATCGACGCCAGATAAGAACTCAAAATGAAATAAAAAGGAATGTGTTGTCGGATTCATCGAGAAATTTTGCATCTGGCACCCCATAGACTCCCTGAATAGAAGATCCTCCTTGAACTCATCTTGTAAAAGTCAAAAGAAAAGACTCCTCCTATTTTTCATGTTTTTAATTATAAGTCTTGTATAATAATAGATGTTTTCTATTGAAAGCAAATTCTCTCTTCCTCTGAAGCGCATAGAGAAGAGAGAAAGGATAACACACAGAGGACAAATGTCTAAGTCTAACAAAAACAGCCGTCTTTCAAGGACACAATAGAAGATCCATCTAGGAACTTTATTCTTGCAGACAGAATAGAAGACCCGGGTCTTTTATTGTCTCACCCTCTTTACATATATTTCTCTCTTTTATTCGACAACTAGAAAGAAAGTTTTATCATACTATTGTAAATATCGGTGTTATACCCAGCTGCATGAACAGTAAATATGGTGGACGGTCAGGAACAAGTCGTGTGAGATGGAAGTCAAGTGCTTTAGAATAATGCTGAATTGATAAAAAATTTTCTTTTTGCAAGCAACATGTCCAAGTCAAGTACGTCTCGTATGAAACATTTCGGCTCTAAATGTTTTCATATCACGTCTCTTTCTTCTGAGAGAGAAGAAGTCATGTTCTTATTTGTGGCACTTCAATTGTATCAATGATCATAACATGAATGAATCAGCATATTTCATATTCACTCATCTGTCTCAATACATTTTCCAATGACAAAAGAGCGATATTCTTTTCCTTCTCTTGTCGATAATAGTCAAGCATATCTGGGTATAACAATATAATAAACACAGCTTTAGCCAATAAACGATAAAATTACGAAGTGAAAGTAATAAATATTCATCTCAAACTTTGACATAGTTCGTACGAGCGGCAAATAACTTCTAACAGTTACGGTGAGTCGAAACACTACCCATACACCTTAGTTCTCAAGCATAATAGCTCAGAAAAATCTGAAAAGCGATTTGAATAGCTGGAAGAGTTTCCAATCTAACGTGGTACATTTAAAATTCCCATAAAAATTGCGTGTAACCTAAATCTTAGGAAACTAAGTCTCCGAATTCGATTAAGAAACGTTTTGCAAAAACCGTCATCGTATAGAGCAAACGTTTCCGAACAAAATCAAACGTCTCTGTATTCTCAGCAGTATTTTTTCAGCAGTATTGAACCTGCATTCAAGTTACGAAAAGTTTCCCCATCCGGCTTGTCCAAACGTCACGCTATCACGTTTTTCGACACTATTTCTTGATTTTTTCAGCAACGATATGTGACAGAAGGTTCGTTCTGGCGTCATTTTGTGTGTCGACCTCTCATTAATGCTAAAAAGAAGAACAAAATCTAAAAATAATGATAAGTAGAAGAAGAAAAAAAAATTTTATATTGATAAAACACAGAGCGTAACGCTGTTACGACAAAAGGTCCTTTAGACCGTTGGCAGGTTTTTCATAAATTTTCTCAAAACGAATGATAACAAATTTTTCTTTTTGAGACAATTTTGTAGCCTAATCAACCGGCTATCCGACCATTAAAAGAATTTTTCTCAACTTAATTCTGCAAGCCCAGAATAATCATTTTACGCTCGAAACGCTGCTACAGGAATTTCCCTAGTGTTAGTTGTTGGTTTCTTTATTTTCTGGGATCTCTTACATGGATCCCCAGTTTCCCAGTCTAGTATATCA